CTAACTCGTTATTATGAAAGTCGAAGTTGAAACCTCCCACTTACAATTAGAGCAAAATATCATAGGATCATTGTGTTAGTGATACAAACTCATTAACATGTTTAAAATGGGTTTTTACCAAGAAAAAAAAAACATGTTTAAAATGTATTAGTATTAAAACTTATATGTAACTTTAACTTAAAATCTATTTATAGGAAAAAAAATTCAATGTGTCAGTAACACGACTTGGTACCTTAAGTGTTATCAATGCAAGTGGTTGACATTTTTTTTTCTTCAAATATTCAACAACTTGTATTATAATTTATAATACTTGATGTAACGATACGTGTTTACGACACATTAAAAAAACTCTCTTAGTAGGGTTAGCAAATTGAACTTGAAGTCGATTTACATGCATTCTCAAACTGCCTATAGGATCCTCGCTGGATCCTCTTTGTGAAGATCATGTAGATCCTTCAATCACATCCGTTCGTCATACATGGTATGGTTAGTGTGGAGCCAAAAATAATCATAAGGCGACACGTGGATTTTTGGGTGAAGATGACAAATTTACCCTCAAGGCATACCGAGTCTCCTACACGCGAGCAGTGGAGAATCATCCATCAACCAAATCAGGAGTACCCAAAATAGGTAACAAGTTCAAATTTGTCTCATCCATCCTCATTCCATAACCTTCAAAACCCTCCATACAAATTAGATTAATTAGGCTAATTAATGGATTAATTCCTAATTAATCCATTAATCACCAAATCAATCACCAAATTATTCACCATTTTCACACAAAATCCTAAGGGCCGGCCACCTCATTCCCTATATATAGGACCCTATTTCTTCTAAAAAGCTAAGTCCACACTCTTACAAAACTTCCAAAAACTCTCCAAATACTTTTCTCTCTAAATTCTAACTTTGGCATCAGAGGTTCTTCAGCCAAAGCTCCCCCCCCCCAATTCATCGTGGGCGCGTGAGGCTCTTGGCTTTGGCCTAAGGTGTTAATTGTTTTGTAGGTGCAATTTTGTCCAAGAAGAAAAAGGCGGAAATTTGCATCCACAAATTGGTGCTTTCATTGAGAGTTGAAATTCACACTCGTAGAATACTCTCACATAAAAAGGTTTTTCTCTATTTTCTAGTCCACTTGTATTTTTCGTACGTTCTTATTATTATAATTTTTTATTTGCAAAGATTCTTTGATAAAATGAAAAAGAGAAATACAATGGCTAGAAATTTAGAAAACTCCATGAGTGAAAATTCCAATATTCAAGAAATGGGATCGCGGCGATCCACGAGACTAAATGTGATCCTAAGGGGATTGGCACCACCACCACGGGAACCACCGCAATGGCCACTATGGTGGCCACCCGCGGCGAGGTCCATGGCACCACTACCACGGCCCAAGCCGTGCCACCAAAGCAAGCCCAAGTCGTGTCATCCAAGGCCCACGGCACCAAGGCCATGACCCAAGCTATGTCACTCCAAGCCCAACACATTGCCAAGTAGAGCTCAAGCCTTGCACCCGCGTGTATCACACGCCGAGCAGCCTACTTCCGTGGCTTAGCCTACTCTAGTCGAGCAGCCTACTCTCGTGGCCTAGCCTGCTCCCTCTAAGCAGTCTGCTCTCGTGGCCCAGCCTGCTCCCGTGGCCTTCCAAGCAGCCCAAGTTGGCCCAAAACTATCTCAACCATCCGGACCTACCATTGAGCTGGGGGCATTTTCACCACATTTCTCTGTGGATTTGACATTTCCCAACTCAAATCTCGCGCCCGGAGTCTACCACCATTCCACTGCTTAAGGAGGCACATTCCTTCCAAGTTCTTCCAATCCAAATGGCGAACAACACTTGTCTCGACAAGTCATAGAGTTGACAATCATCATAGCACAACAGATAACCTTGGTGAACCAGTTTTTGCAGCGCACCAAGATGCAACGTGCCCCAAACGAGGTATCCCAAAGTAACAAGGGCAAATGAAGAACCTCTCTAGCAGCATCCCGGCAAGCAACCACTTGATCATCCACGAACATAACGTTTAGGTAGAGTACACTCTTGATTGGGCCCCCGAGATAGCATATACTCTCGTCTTAGCATGCGGAAGAGCGTGCACTATCAACTAAGCCCACGGACGAGCATACACTCACGGTTGAGGACGCACTTCGATAATCAACATGAGCAGCCTTCCAAGCGAAGTATTCATTCGCAGCTAGGCCCGCAAGGGGTATCTTCCACATCAGTTATGAGCAGGCAGTACAACAGACGGAAAGAAGCAGTCACTCAATCCGGCTCAAGTTCAACCAGCAGCCTGTGAGTTACACGCTTGCCTGCTAGGAACATACTACACCCACAGCAGTCGCGGCATAGACGAGCCGAACATATGGAAGAACAACTTAAACCAGCACATCACGATTGGGGGCAGTCGAGAGCTCTGCCACCTCAACAAATGAAAATTTAGGAAGAAATAGAAAGGCTTCTGACCAAGCGATTGCGCAATTTCTCGCGCCAACTAAGCCTCAAAAGGGCACAAGATGAAACACAATAATTCAGGGAGCATTTCACTGTGCTTACACCCTTACGTGGGTTCCACAAGCAGTTCGAAGTCTCAAGCAATTCGCCAAACAAGACCTCGCAGCATGAAGATTATTTCAATTGTCCAGTAGTCCAGTTTTCCTCAACTGCACTCACGACAACGACTTCTATGCTCTCCAGTGTAAGAGGATAAATTAATTGCTCTCCAGTGCGAAAGGGTAAACCAATTCCCCGACACCCATATGGGTCTGCTTTCCAGTGCGAGAGGATAAACTAATTGCTCTCCAGTGCGAGAGGGTAAAGTAATTCCCCGACACCCATATGGGTCTACTCTCCAATGTGAAAGGATAAACTAATTGCTCTCAAATGCGAGAAGGTAAACCAATTCCCCGACACCCATATAGGTCTACTCTCTAGTGCTAGAGGATAAACTAATTGCTCTCCAATGCGAGAGGGTAAACTAATTCCCCAACACCCATATGGGTCTGCTCTCCAGTATGAGAGGATAAACTAATTCCTCCAGTGTGAAAGGGTAAACTAATTCCCCGACACCCATATGGGTCTGCTCTCCAGTGCGAGAGGATAAACTAATTGCTCTCCATTACGAGAGGGTAAACTAATTCCTCGACACCCATATGAGTTTGCTCTCCAGTGCAAGAAGGCCACATAGTTCAAAAGATCGAATGCTTGAAGATTAACTAAGCAACAAATGGTTAGGAGGCAGTAGCCACTTTTACACTTAATAGTTTGCTCATCCGACATTTTATCTTCAGCAACTCCGATCTTGGCAGCTTCATCCATGATTGCTCCATCTATGGCAGTTGAAAAATCAAATTCAAGCAGTTTCCTCATTTTCAGCAGGCAGCCCAAACGTGACAGCCCAAACAATTGCCCATTCCACGCTACTTCCTCAACCCATGCCGGATTAATCCTTGGCTTCAATCAAGCTGAGCTGCTCAAGCAATGGCCCCTGCCACATCACCTTCTTGGCCTATGCTAAGCCGACTCCTGGTCCCGGCCAGCTGACGTGTCGCACAACCCCAACCACTGCCTCGTGGCAGCACCACCCAAAAAGAAGACAAGAAGAATTAAGTTTTTATTGGTGCGGCACGAAGAAGACGAAGAAAGCAATGAAAGACGATCCTTTGCACGGGCAATATGTAGAAGATTGCTAGATGAGGGAGAACAAATATCCTCTAAGCTTTCTCTCTCTCTTATAGGGTAGAATAAATCATTTTCCAAATTGATTTAATAACCCACTTAAGGTGGACTTAAATAGGCTTTGAGAGAAAATTATTTCCCTTTCCTAGAAGGATCTAATTTCATATTAAAGAGGGAATCTACATCAAAACAGGAAGCAGTCCTAAATTTCCTAGAGCAAGAAGATCTTTACACCTGCTGCCCTTTCCTACGAGTAGCCCAGCAGGTGTGGGGGCATTTGTGGAGCCAAAAATAATCACAAGACGACACGTGGATTTTTGGGTGAAGATGACAAATTTACTCTCCAAGCATACCAGGTCTCCTACACGCGAGCATTGGAGAATCATCCATCAACCAAATCAGGAGTACCCAAAATTGGAAACAAGTTCAAATTTGTCTCATCCATCCTCATTCCATAACCTTCAAAACCCTCCATACAAATTAGATTAATTAGGCTAATTAATGGATTAATTCCTAATTAATCCATTAATCACCAAATTAATCACCATTTTCACACAAAATCTCTAAGGGCCGGCCACCTCATTCCCTATATATAAGTCCTTATTTCTTCTAAAAAGCCAAGTCCACACTCTTGCAAAACTCTCAAAAACTCTCCAAATATTTTTATCTCTAAATTCTAACTTTGGCATCGGAGGTTCTTCGGCCAAAGCCCCCCCCAATTCATCGTGGGTGCGTGAGGCTCTAGGCTTTGACCTAAGGTGTTAATTGTTTTATAGGTGCAATTTTGTCCAAGAAGAAGAAGGCAAAAATTTGCATTCACAATTATAAATTATTATAAATTGTTTTATTTAAAATTGATTATAAACAGTACTTGACAAAAACTGACCACACGATATACAATTAACGAATGTAATTAGAGGATTCTCATAATTCTCTCACAATGACAAAGAGGATCCTCTCTCCTCAAACTGTACAAGTGCACACGTTTGTCTCTTGTTCTCAAAATCCTATCCAATCACCAAACCACACGATTCCCTCCAATCAAATCAACCAATATCTAATTAAAAAACCAAAAAAGTTAAAAAAAATCGAAAACAAAAAAAAAAACCGAAGGAAAAGGCGAGAAAAAGAAGAGATGCTTGGAAATGAGAGATTTTTCTGTATGATCAGTACACGAGATTGTACACTTCGTGTCATTAAATAAATGATGAGATATGTATGATAAAAAGTTAATAACTTAAAAAATAAATTTCCCATCATTCTTATTAAAAAAATCGAAAACAAAAAAACAAAAAACCAAAAGAAAAAGCGAGAAAAAGGAGTGATGCTTGCGAAGGAATCGGGCAGTTCGGAATTCGATCTTCCTGAGGAAGTGTTGGAATTACTGCCGTCGGATCCCTTAGAGCAGCTCGATGTGGCCCGCAAAATCAGGTCACTCACTCTCTCGACACGTGTCTCGGCCCTGGAATCATAGTCGTCCGCTCTGGTCGAGAAGCTCGCCGAGAAGGACCAGATCATAGCCGACCTCCAAGCCCAGGTGGAGTCCCTCGACGCCTCTCTCTCCGAGACCGCCGACAAACTCGCCCTCGCGACGAGGAGAAGGTCCGACCCGCCCCAACCCGACCCACGAATCTTAAACCGCTTCAGTTTCAGTGAATGCGTTGACTAAATTTGACTTCGGTTCGGAAATTGCAGGAGGGATTGGTGAAGGAGAGGGCCGTACTCTCCAACACTGAGGAAGCTGAACAAAGATGTATCGAAGGTAACTGAATTTTTGCGGAGGTTGAAACGACGCCGTTTTCTCCTTAGACTGAGCTTAGTTTGTTAATGTGCGCAGCTGGAGGTGTTCAGAAAGACGCTTATGCGATCACTTGCAGAGGATGAAGAAAATCCTGTGAGCAATTTTATTTGTCAATTTTATTTAATTACGTTTCTGTTTTTAATTATTTTAATTAATTTGATATGTTGGATTGGATTTTGTGACACAGTGGAGCTTCAGAGGCTGTTGCTGAGCCTACTAATAAGCTGAAGAGAACTTGTCTTCTAAACCACATGTTGGACATGGAGGTTTGTTATCCCGAAATCTTAATTTTAAGTTTTTCGTTGTAGGTTTTTTTTCTAATCGTACATGCAATTCATTGTCGTAAAACAGTTATATGTTATGTTGTTAGACAGTAAATCATAAAAAAAAAAATTAACCATTAGAATGTGACTACATTTTTTTGTTTGTTACTTGTTATATGTGTCCACTTCGTTACTATTTGCATATCTTTTTTATTTTTTTTGGGCCAACTCCATATGCTCTATCTTTTGGTTCTTTGCTTAAATGGCAATGTACAGCAAAACCATAACTTGACGGTAATTGCAGAAGGTGATGTCTCATTTTCAGCATTACCACCATCGAGGTCATCTTCAGTCCAAAGCACGTTTTGTGAAGCAGGAAGTAGGTTTCATGAGGATCGCGACACAAATGGTACGGTTTTAATTAAGATCTTGGTCACGAAAAAAATTGCTTTCAGTTATGCTTAGAGTGAAGAACTTTTTAACATGTCAAATTTAATTTTCTTGTATATCTTGCGTTTTCTTGTTGCAATGGCAGCCTCAATACCTCACATAGCACACAGTGTACTGTTAGCATCCCAAACTAGCACACCTCGGCTCACTCCCCCTGGTTCTCCTCCTATCTTTTCTGCATCCACATCACCAACAAGATCATCGAAACCTGTGTCTCCAAAGCGACACTCCATGTCCTTCGCCACTTCATCTGATTCTCTCTTAATCTGTTTCAGGAAGAACTAGGGTGGATGGGAAAGAGTTTTTCCGTCAAGTCAGGTAAAGTCACTAATTAAGTTTTGAATTTGAATCTGGTGGGAAAGAACAAGCTACAGAATCTTATGTCTAAAGAACATTGAAATAGTCGAAAATTTCATTTTGACTAGGTATCTCCGGTTGCATGCACCTCGCTAGTAATAACGCAGAACAACCCCAAATCGCTTAGGTTGTTTTACGAGCTTTAAATCAATTGAACCAGGTTTACAATCCATTCACTACCAAATTTAGCAGCTTTCAACCAATATTTCAAGTAGTTCTAAGTTAACTTCCAAGTAACTGGCCATGAATGCTTATGAGCTGCGCAAGGAATAAGCCTGATGCATTGCCATCTCGATTTTCTTAGTTACTAATTGATACAGTCATAAAGTATGGAATCGGTTCTTGAGTCTCAAATACCGAAAATTCACTACTAGTACCAAAAACCAAAATTTCGAGTTCGGCCTGCATCCAGTTTACAAACTATTTTACTTTGCTATTCAAACTATTAAGATTGAGGAAGTTTATTCTCACCGTTGATCTGTTTTTTCTTTTCCCCCCAAGGAGTCGTCTATCTTACGAGCAGTTTAGTGCATTTCTGGAAAATGTTAAGGAACTAAACAGGAACAAGCAAACAAAAGAGGTACGTGCTTCCTTCCATCCGCTCTCTCTCCATTTGCATATGTTCATTTATAAGTTTTTCCATTAACACTTGATTGAGCTGCTATTGTGCAACATTTCAGGAGACACTACAGAAGGCAGATGAGATATTTGGGCCGGATAACAAGGACCTATATGCTATTTTGATTGTAAAAGCCAGTTTGTTTGGGCCTAAAATATTGGTTTGGGCCAAGTTTAGAATTGTTCTCGGCCTGGAAGCCTTGCTTAAGGGTCGTTGGGGGTCATCCGGTTCATGGGCCACATAGCCAAGGTCGGTCGTGTCCTATCAGGAAGTGGGTGAGTCCCATTGCGAGATGAACGGATAGGGTAGTTGAATCTTGATACAAGAAGGAGTCTTGGCAAGATGAGGATGCTGAAACTGGGGAATGAATGTGGCCTGATAAGAGGTTGAGTTCAAAGTCCTAATAGGAGTAGGACTGATCGAGGTAAGATTGGATCGGGGTAAGGAGTCCTAACCCGAATATAGTTTTGATTCGATTAGAAACAGGTTTGTTACTATAAATAGAGGGAGGAGTGCATCATTCAAGGCCCCTCCAATTCAACGCACAAATTGTTCTACGCAAACTCTCTCAACAACTTTGAGATTTTTATTTTCTTTTTCCGCCAACACATCTTTAGTTTGGATAAATAGCACTGTGGAGGCAATCGGTGATACCTTCAGTTTGGATAAACAGCATTGCGTTGAGGTTGATTGGTTATCTATCCAAGTCTCGATCGAGAAATACTTTCGGGTCTTTATTGGCAGAAGTCATCTCATTAGCCTTTTCGGCGAGGTGAGGTGTTACAATGTACTAGGGCTCGACACATTGAACGCCGAGTTGTTTCATGATTGGATACTCACAAGTAAGCTTTAAAGTTCGGTATTCTGACGGCCGAACCATATTTACCATCAAGACATATATCTGTTTTGAGTATCTATGCCCCTATACTCTGGTGTCGATTCGGCGTGCTTATACCCTTACAAATATAATCACCGTGACCAAATCTGATGCCGACAATTTGTGAACTCCGTATAACTAGTAGCATTGTCTTCAAGCTCTAGAACCCGAAGGCCGAGAGTGTTCATTCCTCGACTGCAATCGCAAGATCGAGAAGTCAGCAACGCACCCAACGCAACATCAACATATTTTACTCCTCAGCAGAGCTCAGCCGAAGAGTTTACACGCCCCGCATCAACCGAATGACGTAGTTAACTCATTAGTTACTCGGCCTGCGTGCCACGTAGGCTTGGTAGCTTTTAAGGTCAACATTTTGGCACGCCCGGTAGAAAATAGTGCTAAAAACTACAAAGTTCATGACCGTTGAGACACGATCAGTTAAAAAGAAAATAGTCATGGGAAAGTCCAAGACCAACCTTCCAGTCCAAAACCCAGGACAAGAGGACTCATCACAGGCACATAATCCTCTTGTCGTTGTGACACCTGAGGCCATAAGCGCGACGCCCCGGGAAAAAGACGTTGGCCTTGGCGGCTAACCTCATAATGCAAGAACCCTAACAAAATCGGGGGTGTTTTAATAGAAGATTGTGACGAGGATGGTGGTGAAGGCTCTGATCCACCAACTAGGTCATTTTTCCAAAGACGGCTAGAAGAACAATCTCGGCAGTTTGAGTAGACGTTCAACCAAGAAATAATGACCGAGCCCAGAACAAAGAAGTTTGTTCAGTGCCAAGTACAGTCAGGCCATGCGGAAAGAGTTAGAAGATTTGGAAGAAAATTGACTTAACGCTTATAATTTATTGATAGAGCAAAAGAAGATCGCCGAGCGAGCTTATAATCAACGAGACAGACAAAAAACGTTTGGCGAAAGAGAGTTGGTTTGAAAAACCGTACTACCCGTAGGAATTAAAGACCCTAGGTTCAGCAAGTGGTCGCCGAATTGGGAAGGGCCATCTATTGTTCATAAAGTTTTCGACAATGGGGCATACCATCTTAGGGATCAAACTGGTGCCAATCAACGGGAAGTTTTAAAAGAAATATTATCCAGTCACATGGAAGATACAAGAATAAAAGTTCATTTCATTAAGTTCGCAAAAGGGTGTACAAATAGAGTTAGTCGATCAGTTTAAAACTAATCCTAGGGTGATGAAGAATGAGAGATTCAAGAACGGCCTTCAACTCCAACCACCTCACCTCGCCCATTGTGACCTCAGCTTGCCGATTTTTCTTATCCATTTTCAGCTGCTCAACTCGCTTCACGCTAGCCTCATATTCGGTTAAGCAAGATTTGCCGCTCAACTCAAAATCCTTTGCAAGCTCGGAAGCAACAACCGATCTTCGATTTTGGAGTTCGGCAATTTAACGGTCAAGGTCGGCCAATGTTTCTTTTTTTGCCTTCAAAACTTCGACCTTTGGCCTCGAACAACCGTTGCAGCTTTCAAGTCGTCTTCAACCCGAAGAGCTTTCTTGAAAATACCGAATTATTCTCGGGTTCGTTCCAAGATAGAAGACACTCGAGTGATAGCTTTAGTGCTCAATTGACCATCAGCTACGAGATCGTTCAGACATACACCCATTAAGTCAAGGCCCTAGCATTCGAAAACTTGTTAAGCTGAGAAAGACAAGAGCTCATGCAGCCTAATAAGAGCATTTGATTCGGCCGTTAATACGAAGGGCTCGGTTGTAGCTGTCGAAGGGCCAGCCGCTCCCGAAGTATTCAAATGAAGAGCATCGAACTCGACTTCCCATAAAGGCTGCACATGAAAATAATTTAGGCAAAAGGAAAATCGTAAAAGAATATAGCAGAGAAAATTTGTATTAGACCTGCTGAGATGAGACTTTGGCCATGTCTCTTGGTTCATTGCTCGAACCTAAAGAACTTAATGGCCGAGCCTAGTGTTTTAGACTGCTTCTCAATTCACGCGGTCGATGAAGGTTATCTACATTCGACGGCCAATGAGGTGGCCAGGAAATATAGACAACACCCTTCGGCGCATAGAATTTTCGGTGAAATGAATAATTGGGCACCTGACATTTAATATTTTTTTTCGGTTCAGACTCGTTATAGCAAAGTTAACAAAAGAAAGTAATCGAGCCTTACAAAAGTCGAGGTCGTTTCTTGAGGGGGAATGTCGAGGTCTTGATCCTGCAGGTGAATTGGGGTTTCTGCCATCGTTTCAGGCTCAACATGAAGTCTTTTTCCACGATTGGTTGCAGAAGAATCGACCTGGTCAGTTGCCTCAACCACATAGGGAGGATCGATGAAAGGAGGTTTGGTTGGTCGAGGCGACTTGCCAGCAGAATCTCGTCGTTCTCGTCATCCTAAAATAAAAAGCTGTTACTACTTTTGAATTTAATGAGAGAAGGGAGTTACCAACAACATAATCATACCTCTTCCAAGATGATCGCTGATTGTTTTGGATTTTTAGGCAGATTTTTCCCAACCGAAGGGGTTACCTCCTTCAAGACGGGTGCAACGGTCAGCCCCGGAGCTGCATGCTTTTCGACCAGCGGTGCAGCAACTCGTTTGATCATGACCTTAGGGACCTTAAGGACAGGTTGAATTTGGAATGCTGGGTGCTGGGCTAGTTGGAGTTGGCCGCTTCTCCGTCAAAGCTTGGACAACGAGAGCAGGAGGAGAGGCACTAAAAGTGGTCTAGCTGGAAATAAAGTGAATCTCTCGTTTTGTTTTCTTCACCAATTTCTTGACACGTTTTGTGGGACGAAAAGCTTCACCTGCCATCTTGGTTTCCTAGCGAGGCCGTTTGCTCGGCGAGGTTTGTGCGGCAATTTTATTTTTTTTTAGGAAAGGGCCAAATTTTTTCCTGGCCGCAACCATGGCGATCACGTCTGCTTGTTTCAGTACTCGACCGCCCGAGAAAATGAAATCAAGTTAGTAAAATCGAGTAAGTGTTTGGAGAATAAAGGAAGAGATAGTCGTATACCTTGGGTCATCTCTTTAGACTGAGGGGGATAAGCTTTTTGGGTCGGTCGCCAAAAATTTTGTTGACCACGTATTCGATCGAAGCGCCAAAAAAGTCATGAGTGTATCCTTCCCACCAGTTACCGAAGGTTTAAGTGCCGAGAGATTCAGGAACAGTTGGTCGGAGACAGATTTTTTACACCGTTCCTAAAACTATTTCTCGGTATCTCTGCACTCCCTCTTTGAGGAACCATAGAGGTGTCATTGGCTTAGGAGGAAGCGGGAAGCAAGTAGAGGCACTGAGCAACCTTGGAAGTAGCCGAGCTGTCGGGCAGCAAAGTGGGGGTGGTAAACCTCCCAGCTTGCTCGGTTAATGTTGCAGCCAAGGGGAAGGTCGCGGGTTAACACGAACAATCCCTAGTTTTGACGAAGACCAACATCTTCACTTTCACTCCATGTTGATGTTGGAAGCTTGATGGAAAATGGGTATTCTTGACGACGACATATTAAAAATTCGTCATCAGAGATGACATCTAGGCTGAAAAAGTATTTGAAGACTTATTCAGCCCGGTGAGGAGGCGCCAGTCGAGAGGCCAACTGAAGGCCGAGCGCTGTAATAGACTGAAAGTTAGGGGTCTCTGGCCGAAGTGTGGAAAAATAGACCTGCAGCCAAAGTTGGAATATCTAGAGAGGTCCGTTCTAGTGCGGGTCGATCTCGTTGATGGTCGTTTCGGCCAGGCAACGTAGGAGGTTGGCGAGGATAGCTGGACTGAGCGTCAATGAGTGACCACTAACTAAGGCTTTAACCACCAGCATATTTTCGACCAAACATTTATTTGACTTGGTACAACAGATAAACTTGTTGTACCAGTAAAATAGGAAGACTTCGTGTTCTCCCTTCCGTAGACTCGCCTCCCCCCCCCCCGGTCCCAGGAAAGTGGAGGATGAGGGTCTTGTAGTTGAAGAAGTTCTTGTGCAACTTATGAACTTCTTATTTTGAAGGCTCTTGACCTTCTTGGCTTAGCGTCTTGACGGCCCATTCGTCGAATAGTGCTTTAAGGTTGAGATTCGACGGGCACCCAAAAAGGGCGATATCTATTGGGATGTCAGAGGGAGAAGTCCTAAGGATAGCTTAGATGTCGAGGATGGTGGGGCTGATAGGGCTGAAGGGAAGGATCATGGTGTTAGTGGCCGAGCACCAGAAGCTCAGAGCTGCCATGAAGAGTTCTTTATCCATGGCAATCTCCATGGTCGAAAGTTTGATGGCGTCGTAAATGCCAATAGCCTCCTATTCTTTGCCAAAGAATCTTTTCATCCGTTCGACCCAGGCCGCCCAAGTCGCGTTGGTTGAAGGCCAGGCTCCTTGGGGCTTCGTTAGGCACCACTTCGACCAATCAAACCCTTGCAGCAAGGGTGTCAAGCAGTGGTATTTGAAGAGGTTGGTGATAGACAATGGCACTGCGTCCTTGAAAAGTGGTCCCAGGATTTGATGAGTGGTGCTTAAATCACTCTCGAAGCGCAGAGTCTTGACTGCATTCCGGTCGATGAAGTCCTTGCACATGTTGCATTCGTCAGAAAGCTGGGAGATAAATGAGACGATTGATGAAGACTCGAATATTTCTGGCTTAAGAGCTTGGGGTTTTCTGGGATTTTGAAAGCAAAATGGCAAGAAGGTTTCAAGGGTTTTGGAAAGCATAAAGTATAAATGGAAATGATTTAGGTATTTATAGGCATTTTGGAAGGAAGTTTAAGTGTTTGACTTTCAAAATTGGGGGTAGAATCGAGCGGGAAAGTCGCTAATCATTGTGGATATTCAGAGAATTCAGGTGAAAAGACCGAGGTTTTCGCGATTTGAGGATGCACGATTGCATATTACGACGAATTTAATGTAGAAGAGACGTTTCAGCTGTCGCACGTTTTCGAGGCTCATGATTAAGGGCTATTAGGTTAACCAAAGGATCGACACGTGGCAGGACGGTTAGGAGAATCGAGATCGTGAGATCATGTCTCATAAATACGCATGGTGGTATTTCTCGAGAGGGTTCAATGTTTGTTTTAGGTCGGTTTTGCTTCTTCAAGCTGAGGCTCGACCAAGGAATGTAGGTCGACGACCTCAGAAGCGAGGAGGCAATGTTTGGGCCCAAAATATTGGTTTGGGCCGAGTTTATAATTGTTCTTAGCCCGAAAGCCTTGCTCAAGGGTCGCTAGGGGTTATCAGGTTCATGGGCCACATAGCTAAGGCCAGCCGTGTCCTATCAGGAAGTGGGTAAGTCCCATTGCGAGACGGACGGATGGGGTAGTTGAATTTTGATACAAGAAGGAGTCTTGGCAAGATAAGGATGTTGAAACTGGGGAATGAATGCGGCCTGATAAGGGGTTGAGTTCAAAGTCCTAATAGGAGTAGGACTGGCCGAGATAAGATTAGATCGGGGTAAGGAGTCCTAACCTGAATATAGTTTTGATTCGATCATAAGCAGGTTTGCTATTATAAATAAAGGGAGGAGTGCATCATTCAAGACCCCTTTAATTCAACGCACAAATTACCTTGCGCAAACTCTCTCAACAACTTTGAGATTTTTATTTTCTTTTTCTACCAACACATCTTCAGTTTGGATAAACAACATTATCGCCGTAGAACCAACCGATTGCGGAATACCTTCAGTTTGGATAAACAGCATTGCGTCGAGGCCGACTGGTTATTTATCCAAGTCTCGATCAAGAAAGACTTTCGGGTCTTTATTGGCAGAGGTCACCTCATTAGCCCTTTCGGCGAGGTGAGGTGTTACAGTTTACTAGGGCTCGGCACATTGAACGCCGAGTTGTTTTATGATTGGATACTTACAAGTAAGCTTTAGAGTTCGGCATTCTGACGACCGAACCATATTTACCATCAAGACATATATCTGGTTTGAGTATATGTGCCCGTGAGTGTTCCTTTCTCGGCCACAATCGCAAGATCGAGAAGTCAGCGACGCACCCAACGCAACATTAACACATTTTACTCCTCGGCCGAGCTCAGCCGACGAGTTGGCACACCCCGCATCAACCAAATGACATAGTTAACTCATTAGTTACTCGGCCTGCGCGCCACGTATGCTTGGCACTTTAATCTGTTTTTTTTTTTTTTTTTGCTGTAATTAAATACAAATTCAACGTGTACTGGAAGTCTAAAACCATTCTTTGAACTCCTGCTACTTAACTGTATGACTAGTAACTTTGCGAGATTACGCACTATTGAGTAAGCCGGAAAATCGGTGACTAAATTTTGCGTAACTCTTATCACTCAGTGGTATGTTAAACGACTTGATATTACTTACGTTAGAGTCCATCCTTAAAGTAAGTGGTGTTGTTTCCCTGAAGATTGGCTTTTCACAAGTCACAACGTCAAGAAATGCTTTTGAAATTGTACTTTAGGTAATTAACGTAGTGCATCCTTTTGAGTGTACCATGGTTAATTCATATAAAATTAACAAACTGACGAGCTGATTGGATATGACATTATTAAGGGGTGATTTCTTTGTCAATACTTAATAGTATGAGGGATAAATTTAGTGAACGAGAGATAAATTATCATTCCATGCTCAGGTCAAATTAAGACAAGTCTTAATAAGCTTTTAGGTTAATAAGATACATGGAGAGAAAAACTTCGTTACATGCATCTGTGTTCAGGACCATATGACTTGTTCGTCCTATGCATAGAGCAACTTGTATGACATAAGTATATTGTTGGAGTCCAATAAAATAATGGAACCTTGGAGAGAAACTAACACATGTCATTTTAATATCAGAACAGAACACTATTGTGACGATATACCCGTACCATACAAGTCTTTCTCCTCATGCACAACACAGCCTACTGAATACTCCCTCCTCGTTTCAGACCGTTGATTGTTAATTATTGCCACATGTCAAAGACTCAGAAGACGTGTAAACTGTAAGAGTTGGGGAATCTCCATAACCATACATGCTTGCTTGCAAAGCCCTTTCACAAACATGCAAAAATTACACGTTTTTTCTATTTACTTAAGAGTCTAAGACAGATCACATAGACTGGATTAAGAAGCTAATTAACGATGTGCCAATAACAATTAAAAGCCGATTTTTGTGCATTAATAGTCGCTGATTGTCCAAAAATGCAAGAATATTTAGTGGGAAAAAAGGGAAAAACCATGGCAGCCCCTATTTTCCATTTCTTTCTCTCTCTCTCTCTTGCTTTCTCTCTCTTGATTTTCTCTCTCTAGGTTTCTGTGTGTGTGGTGTGTCGTTTCCCTTGGCTTCTAAAACCTCCAGCGGCTCTCTTGGGTTGGTGCCAGCCTCTGAGAATTCATGGTTTAGGCCCCAGAATATGAACCAGAAACTTCTTCATGGTCATCGCCTCCGTGCCTGCTTTTCAGATCATAGCTTCTGGTTTGGCGGCTTTTGTCTCCAAGTAGTAAGCTTTTCAAACTCTCATCCTGCAATGGTAAAATTTTCATTTCCTCTTAGTAATATGAATGTCTATCCTAGGAGGTCGCATCTACTTGTCACATTGCATTCATTAGGGTAAAAATACGAGTCATTCCTCCTTGCAAACAAATCAAAATGTAACTTATGTGTAGAAATTTTTCTTGACATTTTTTAAACAAGTGACATTTTTCTTTTAAGCCAACTTAAATTGCATAGGGTAGAACATCCACTTCTAACCAATGTGACTACGCCTACGTCTGCTTCTTTATTTTGTGGTTATATCTTTGTATAATGTCTGACTAGTTGAATATCAGAGTGCGCAACGAACAAGACTAACAAAATAAGAAATATTATTGATATCAAACGAGAATGCCGAAACGGCTACAAAACCCTAAGATGCTACATTGTGACTAACTTATTCTTCTATAGAGTTACAAAGTACCATATATATAAAAAACTAACATAACCCTAATAGGCAAGGAAACGAAACCCTAATACTAACGGGCTAAGCCCAAAATACCAAACATTAAAATAAATCTAAAGAATAATATTTTCCAACATGACTATGGTTTGTTTCTTATATGCGAGGAACTAAGCATTATGATTTTGTTGTTACGTTATTCATTTGCACATGGTTTTGTTGGTTAAAATGTCACTTTCGATTTTTTTTTTTTCTGGTTTTATTTTTGTTTGCTTGAATTTCCCTGTTCCTCAAGAGATGATGTTTCAACGGTTCTTCTATAATCCATACGCAAATCATTTGTTTGATTCTATATATCTAGAGTTATTTATTTATGCATGTGTCATATTCTGTGGCCTTTTTCTTCCTATTTCCCTCCCCACTTGGATGGTCGGTACTGCAATACTACCATGGTTTGGCTGAATTTGCTCTTTAGGTTACTTAATCTGTTAGGTTTTGGCATATTTTCTGTTCTTTGCTGACATATTGCTTCGTATGGGCAGCAATGGTTCCCGCGAAACGGCCAAAGACAATGAAGAAGCGCAGGCTACAACAAAGCCTTCTACTCTCGGAGGATCAAGAAGAGCACGAGCTGGATTCTCCGACTCTTTTTCAAGCCAAGGTAACGATTTTGTTTCCTGTTCTTTTACTGATATTGCAGATATATAGCAATGTGGTACTAATTCTTTTGGGATTTGTCATGACAGACTTGAGATCTTTAAATTTGGATGAGGATGTCTCAGTAGATGAGCCCTCTTCAAGAGGAGTTTCCGAGGATGAATATTGTCCGAGAAGCGTAGGATCCGAAACATCATCTCCCAAGGCCAGCACTTCAGACTCGGATGCAAGAGGTAGCATTACTACTTCAGACTCGAATCCAAGAGCCAACCATCACCGGCGCGGTTTTTTTGGAATGTTGAAAAAAGGACCCCAAAATCCCTTCCCAACCTTCCCTCCTAAAGGTTCTAAAAAACCAAAACTCACCAGAAGGAAAACCAAAAGAATAAGAGAGGAATTCATTCCACAGCCCAACTCTCCTGCCCCTAGGTCATTCGATGCTGACTTTTGCCGCTTCAAATCTTCCTGGAAGAATTACTCATTCCTAGAGCTCCAAGCCGCAACCAACAACTTCAGCCACGGTTTATATACTCACATTTCTTTAGAGCAATATTACATTGCATTAATCGTATATCGCTAGAATTATGATCTTCTAGAAAGGTTGTCATTGTCTTATATTCTCATAGAACTTTTCGATTTGTCTTCTTGAAGAGAACTTGATCGGGGAGGGAGGCTATGCTGACGTTTACAAGGGAACATTGGAAGATGGACAGATTGTCGCAATCAAATGCCTGACTCGCGGTACTCAAGAAGAAATGACTGCAGACTTCTTATCTGAGCTTGGTGTCATAGTTCATGTTGACCATCCTAATATTGCGAAATTGATTGGCTACGGGGTTGAAGGAGGGATGCATCTTGTTCTACATTTGTCTCCCCATGGAAGCCTATCGTCTATACTTTATGGTTTGTTTATCATTGCAAATCTTTTGAACACCAGAATTTCTTCCAATTTCACAAACAAGTGACTCATTGGTTTTGTTTCTTCGTCGCGTGTTTTCTAGGACCGAGAGAGAATCTGGATTGGGGCATCAGATACAAAGTCGCTTTAGGGACGGCTAAGGGTCTACTGTATCTTCATGAAGGGTGCCAGAGAAGAATTATTCACAAAGATATTAAGGCTTCTAATATTTTACTGGCAGAGGATTTCGAGCCTCTGGTACACCCTCTTTGATCAATTAACACAAAGGATTACCGAAAAGCTGCATTACGTTAATAATTCTCTGTTACTCCAATTTGAATCCAGATATCTGATTTTGGGCTTGCAAAATGGCTACCAGATTCATGGACTCACCATGTTGTATCGAAATTCGAAGGCACATTTGGGTTTGTTAATCCAAAATATTTAGATTTTTTATTTTGTACTAAATTAGTTTTGTTTTTCTAATCATTTGACATTATTCCATTCCCCAATCATGACAGATATCTTCCTCCCGAGTTTTTCATGCACGGCATAGTAGATGAAAAAACCGATGTCTATGCCTACGGGGTGCTAATATTAGAGCTCATCACCGGCAGGCAAGCTTTGGATAGGTCACATAAAAGCCTCGTCATGTGGGTACGTTCGCTTCTGTGTACCTAGGTTTCTTGTTTAATTTTTGTAGGTAGTTCAGAAGTATACTGGAATACTTGTTGACAAATTCGATCTGACTGAAACATTACTTTCCAGGCCAAACCTTTGCTCTCTATGAATAATATGAATGAGCTAGTTGATCCATACCTTGGCGATGCCTATGATTTGAAAGAAATGAAACGTCTTGTGTTAACTGCTTCGTTTTGTATACACCAGTCTTCAGTGAATCGACCGCAAATGAGCCAGGCATGTAATTATTTCTAGCAATGACTGCTCACAAGTTTGATTTTACAGTGCCAATATATGTGATGACCTAACTAACAAGGTTTTTTTTTTTTTTTTTTGGTCAGAACTTAACTAACAAGTTTGTGTTGCGTTTTGTTTTAATTTTGTTTTAAATCCGCTGCAGATAGTCGAAATTTTAGAAGGAGATGAAGGCAGTTTGGAGTACGCTACAAAACGTCAAAAGTCTAAACTTCAAAGGACGTATTCGGAGGAGCTCTTGGATGCAGATGACTACAACTCAACCAAGTGTTTAAGTGATAGAGAGAAACAACTGGAGTTTATCTTGGGCACTTCTAATGAGGCCTAAACTTTCTATGTATGGGGTGTTGGGGTAGTTGAATTTGTTTCTTAAGGCCGGATTCGCATTGCTCTGAAATCCGTCCACGGACCAAAAACGCTAGACAGTTTCAGAAGCAGAAAACGATCGCGAGAAAACCAGACAGTTTCAGAAGCAGAAAACGATGAGCATGCAAGAGAAGGAAGAGAAGAGCAAAGGACGTTTGTGGGAGATGTTAATGTTATATGTGCTTTGTTAATTACTCATCGTCTGTACAATGAATGTAATCGAAATGACGTCTGAATGAGAGAAAAGCTTGAAGGGAGAGGGTGAGTGGTTTTAGTGAGCATGTATGTACAGCTGCTGGAACAAGTGAGAAGGTGATTTCTCATGAAGGGCGAACGTCTTCGAATGGAGAAATTTTTGTGACAGAAACACGAGTGTTACATCACGTGTTTTTATGTATGCGGTGGGAAATTTTATTTTTTAAGTTATTAACTATTTAACATACATATCCCATCATTTGTACAGTGACACGTGATGTACCACCTCATATGCCGGTCACACTGAAAAATCTCTCATTCGAATCAGAAAACCCTCGAGGAAAAAGATTAAAGGGGAAAGAGCATTTAAAATAGGGGTAAAACCATCAAAACACAATTAAACGAATTTTCTATTGGGTTTTTAAGTCAAAATAGTCTTTGAAATTGACATAACTCCTAACGTTGGTCCTTGAGACTTAAAACGGATATAAGTGGTCTTTTCTATCGTCAGTCATTTTGATCATTATGTGAAAAAATCTAGGTTAATTTGAGGGTATTTTTATCAAATCAACCTCTTCACTTGAATTGGTGGTTTCTTCAATTTCACAAAGATTTTTCATGGAAGACCAAAATGATTGACAATGAACAATCTCTGAAATTGCTTCCATTAATTTTAAATTTCAAAGACCAAAGTGACAAGTTATATAACTTTGAAGCAGTGTTCGAAAACGCAGCCTAGGCGGCCACCTAGGCGCTGGGCGGTGGTTCGCCGCTGCGATTTAAACCAAAATCGTTGAAGAAATCGGAAAGGGTATTAGGCGGCGCCTAGACAGTCGTTGGGCGGGCTAGGCGGCCTCGGTGACCGCCTAGGCGGCCAACAGTCGTTGGGCAGGCTAGGCGGCCTCGTTGACCGCCTAGGCAGCCTCGATGGTAAGTCGATTACAACGTTGTTCTTTTGCTGTGGTACTGTGGTTGGACAACTGGGCGACCATCCCGACAGTTTCGATCTGCAGTTGCAGAGAAATGAAGTAAGACAATTTGGATGCCGCTAGGATGAGAGCGATAACCATGGATCTGCAATTAAAGAGTAAAGATGTGGGACGAGATAAATCTGCAATTGCAAGGTAAAGAAGAGGGATGGCTTGGCTGGGAAGAGAGAGAGAGAGAGAGAGAGAGAGGTTTCTGCAATGGTAGAGAAAGGTGATGGAGCGGGACGACGGCTGAGCTTGGATAATTAGAGCTAGGGTTTTTCTTTTCTTTTTTAAAGGGAGAGGAAGGTGAAGGGGCCACGAGGTTGGGAGCCCAAAGTGGGCTGAATGTCCAGCAATGAGTGTCTTAAAAAACTAGGGAATAAACTGTTTTTTTATTAATAAGAAAACAAGGCCCAATTCATTTTTAATCAAAAACAAAGGTCCAACAATGATTAAAATAAATAGGGTGACTAAATGTTACAAAATCAACATAAAAAGTCTTAAATTTTTACACATATACTTAAATCCGCCTAGGCGCTAGGCGCCGGCCGGCAGCCTGACTAGCGCCTAGCATTTTTTAGAACCTTGTTTTGAAGTGGTTATGCACTATGCTTTGCTATTTCACACAACAAACAAATCCATATTTGAATTAATGAAACACTCATTTGCCCAATCAATTTAGTTTCAAGCTTAATTATTATCTTCAATTGTTCATAAATTTATCACTTATCATAAAATGAGATCGAAAAAAATATGATTTATCTAACAAACACAAAAGTTTAACAAACATGAAACATTAGCCATAAAAGAAAATGATTCAAGTTCTTTCCAATGTTGAAAGAAATCTCTAAGTTAGAATTTTCTTTGTGATTGAACTTATGAAATATTTACTTGAAATGAGAATTGATATATGATTCTTGGTTTCTTGTGTATTTAATAACACAATTCCTTATTTGATATTCGAAAAACGAGGAATTAGAGTGACTAAGAAAAATAGTTGATCATATTCACTTTGATTTCATGAGTTCTACATTTTAAATAGGTAAACATGTCATTAACGACATCACTCGTTATAACATGCTTATGTAGATGGAGCAAAAATGTTATGTATAGAAGTGAGAATATGATTAACTTCTCTCTTAACGAAACTAATTTTTAGCTTCTCGATATCAGATTATCATTATGTATTATAATACAAGAACTACATGTATTTTTTTTATTTTGAATGTGTTAGTTAACGTAAGAAACAGCAGAACAATTGTAAGTAAGTAAATAAATATTGCCCTAGTGGACAAAGATTTTAAAATAGAAAATCTTGTCTCAGCAGTCGAATCCAATGAATTGAAGAAAAATTTGATAAGAAAATTAGGAAGAGAGCGTATGAAAAATAAAAATAAATGTGCGAAACAGTGAAGTTAAAACTAAGATGCAGAAGACATGGCGGCAGCCACAGGTGGTTAACAGCAGCACTGCACTGAGATATGGGTTAGGAATTTAGGATCGGGATTAGAAATTCAATTGACATTGACACAGTCTCTCTCTCTCCGTCTCAGAGATTGAGAATCCGACCGAGCACTGATGACTAGGGCTTGCCTTCACCTCCTCCTCCTCCTCCTCTTCTTCTTCCTGCTCTCAATCTGCTCCACCTCCTCTTCTGCTTCCACCTTCACCGTCAATCCGTCCAAAGTGAAACAGATCTCATGGAACCCTAGGTCTCTTTCTAAACTAACAGTGTTTTGTTTTTAATTTTTCGATTGGAATTGGATTGATGTGATTGGAATGGATTGGATGATCAATTTGCAGAGCTTTCGTGTACGAAGGTCTGCTGACGGACGCCGAGTGTGATCACTTGATCTCCATCGTGAGTTTACGCGCATTTCAATCTTTTAATTTATTCAATTCTGATATTTTTTTTTCTCTCACGCTTTTATCAATGTGTTTGATTTCATTGTGAATAGGCGAAATCGGAGCTGAAGAGATCCGCCGTCGCCGATAACTTGTCCGGTCAGAGCAAGCTCAGCGAGGTCCGGACCAGCTCCGGAATGTTCATTCCCAAGGCCAAGGTCTCTGCTTCTTTTTTCTCTCCCTTTTTCATTTCTGATCATTTTTATATCATATGCATGTGTTCCTTAACTATATATACTACTTTTGTTAGGCTTTGCTAATTGCCAATTGCCATTAAATTTTACGTTTGTAGCCCGAAGTGCATTGATTACATTATAAATGTGTGTATATAGACACGCCGTGGATGTTTGATTGTTGACGGGATGATCATCGGTCATGAATTGGATTGCAAGTCACCAACGTATGGATGTATATCAAATGTGGTTTTTTACAACTTAAATTCGTGTAGGATCCCATTGTTGCTGGTATTGAGGATAAGCTTGCAACATGGACATTTCTTCCAAAAGGTAAACCCTTTGCCGAAGAATACTGGTTGTATTGTTCTTTTTCTTATAACCTTCAACAGGTAGTTAACTTTGAATAATACAATTAATATTCACAGTCATACCTTGTCGAATCATGGATCAAAATTGTTGTCCCTTTATTGAGGTCCTCGTATGTTGCATTGACAGGGCCATATATTTAGATTTTAGCAATACGACGTGTTTCTTTTCCTTCTTTGCTTATAATTGATGTTTAGATGTTTTGATGAAGAAGATTGAAGTGAAAACCGAGTATAAATAAGGGAAGATAATCAAAATACGACAAGCATAACTTTTGGTAATATTGTTGCTGCTACTGAATTGGGTGAACATGGGAAAAACAGATGCTAACTTGAATGTTTGGAGAGCCATGTTTGTAAGATTTCAGAGGTTATCTATTCTTCCGACATCAAAAGCATTGCAAATATTGGATTGAGAAAGAAAGAATGATGTGATGAAAATTTGAAAAACGTTTCATTTTCATTGCTGGGGCAATCTTACATGTGATATGTGTTTCTTGACTTTCAGAAAATGGTGAAGACATACAAGTATTGAGATATGAACCTGGGCAGAAATATGCACCACACTATGATTACTTTGTTGACAAGGTCAATATTGCTAGGGGTGGACACCGCGTAGCAACTGTACTGATGTATCTCACTGATGTGGCCAAAGGTGGTGAAACTGTGTTCCCTGAAGCAGAGGTTAGCTGCATTATTCACCTCCTGGATTCTGTAATTTTTATTGAGCTAACTCGAGCACCATTGAACAGATTAGTGTTACCAGAATTTCTATGTGATAGTTGTCTAACAACATAGGGATCATCTAATCTGTATCCTGGAAGATTTATTTTCATAAGCCACCCCTGGCTGCTCTTGGAATGGTAATATTAGCATGACTGACGTGCTCGTGAATCTGCATTACGTTGTTCTCTATTGCATTTGAATTAGCAAAAATGTTGGTAATGGTTATAGTTCTTTCAACAATTGTCTATTATAAAAATTATGAAAAACTAAAAGGATACGGAGGCATAGAAAGTAAGATAAAAAAATTACTAGTTCTGTTAATTGGTTGAGAGTCTTGAGACGGGGTTGGGTAGTAGAGTATAAAGAAGTTTTTACCAGCTTGATTGTATGCTTTAGTTAATGTTGTTAATAATTATTTTTGTAAACCACTCTGGCTGCAGATACCTTCACGCCGTAAGGCTGCAGAAATAGATCACAGTCTCTCTGAGTGTGCAAAGAAAGGAATTGCAGGTAAGCTCTATATAAAATTATAAATTAATACAGCTTTTATCAAAATATAGAAATTGTTGTAGAAAAGTTGATGTATTCTGTTGCTTCTCTCTTCACCTTGGAAATATTCAGTGAAACCACGACGAGGAGATGCCCTTCTTTTCTTCAGTCTCACCCCACATGCTGTTCCAGACCCGAACAGTCTCCATGCGGGTTGCCCAGTGATTGAAGGTGAGAAATGGTCAGCAACGAAGTGGATTCATGTTGACTCGTTTGACAAGAACTTGGATGCTGGCGGGAACTGTGGAGATCTGAATGAGAGTTGTGAGAGATGGGCTGCCCTTGGGGAATGCACCAAGAACAGAGAGTATATGGTTGGAACTCCCGACCTTCCTGGCTACTGTAGGAGGAGTTGTAAGGTATGTTAGAATTCACCTCGTGATTTCCACGCGGAGCATCTGTTGGAGGCTTCCTGTTCCTGTTGCGGTCATTCACTAATGTTTTGGGTTATAACTGTACTGTTACTATTTGAAACGAAATTCGGCGATGGAAACCACCAAAAGAAATGTGTCCATGTATATTCTTGAGACCTGAAATAACGACTTGAAGTTTTACAC